TATTCTCACCTCTGAGGGTGGTCCAAATCTCATGGTAATCTCACCTCTGAGGGTGGTTATTCCTTACATATTTTAAAGATTCAGTATACAATACATGCAACAATTGTTTTACATTTACTAATATATATTGTAGATATGCTTCTAATTTAGACAATACTGTATTCTTGTAATATTTTTATTTTATACCAGATGGTAAAGTACAAGATGTAAAACAGTCGACAAGCTCAACTCCTGTGTTATCACAGGCTGAAGTAGAGAGCTCTATGAAGAAGTATGAAGTATGTATTTCAATAAATGTGATGTAATGCATGCAAATATCTCCTAGTGTTGCCCTTGTGTCAAAGGCAAATTGATAAATTTGAGAATTATTAAGTTATCATAACAATAAAGATTTGATTTCCTGAAAACTGTTGGTTATGATTTATTAAAACAATTAATATAATAAAATAACATTGTCCATATTTAATGATGTCATTGCTCAATGTCAATAGGGTATTGGCCCTGAACCTGCAACACATTATAATATTAAATTAGGTAATGAAATACCATGTAACACTTCCAGTATTGCAGTATTTGTTATGTAAAACAAAAAGCATAAAATTACAAAATTATTTTAAAAAAAATCATTTCACATAAAGCATGTCTATATCAACTAAACTTTTATTTATGTGTGTTGTCTGCATGTTTCATGCATGCACTTCTCAGTCAGATTTTAGATATATAATATGCGATATCACAATGGATTAAACACCTAACACATTTACAAGCAACAATGAAATGCACACAGTACCATATTGAATTAGATTTACTCAATTGTATGTGTTTGGGCACACTCTCTCACATGGAATACATTTCTCATCCAGTATGGTGTGTTTTAAATAGTAGAAATAGTTTTAAACTGTCATTTTTGGAAGACACTGAATATGTGGCTTTGCACTGTGATGATGCACACATGCTGAAAAATTAACACATGCATGAGATGTTTGTTAGAATAACATTTACACTAGAAATAACCACACTTTGCTGTGTCTATAGGGCACTTTTGAAGATTATCTTGAGATGTTCATTCAGTTTGGTTACGTCATCTTGTTCTCATCTGCATTCCCAATGGCTGGCATGTGTGCACTGGCTAATAATGTGATTGAGATTCGAAGTGATGCATTCAAACTGTGCTGGGGAATGCAACGTCCATTTGGACAGAGAGTTGAAGACATTGGCAAATGGCAGGTATGTATCTTTTCGTGTGAGGGCGCTGTTGCACTAAGTACACATGATTTGAGTTTGACAGTTAAGCATGAAATAAAATGTTTCTGATGCAAACAATACTAACACACTATTAATTCCTTTTTTTCATTTCAGCTATGTTTGAGTCCTTTTGATACCGGAGTTTGATATAATTATGCTTCTGGCAAATCATTTGTTATGACTGGGAAATAAATGTGAAAGCCTTGTAAAATTAATATATATTTTAACATGTACTATAAAAATAATTTATTTATCACGTCACTGCATAGCAGGAAATTTGTTTGATTTGAACACCATGAAATCCTGAAAAAATTACATTTGTTTGGCATATTTGTTTGCATGCATGAGACAATGACAACGTATCCCATTGCTGAGCTTTGAACAAGTTTTCAAGCTGTAATATTACAGAATATCACATATACTCTCTTTATCTAGTATTATAAATCTGCTACAAAGTTAAGAACTTCTTTTGGAATTTTAGTTTCTTCTTTCTCCTCAAAATAATGTACTATTTATTTCAATATTAGCAAATACATAATTATCTTTTTGTTTGAAGGACTGTATGGAGTTGATGGGTGTTGTTGCTGTTATTGTAAACTGCTGTTTGCTAGGAGTCTTTGGACATGTACAACGATGGTTTCCTGACATTACTATTCCCGGTATCATATTGTTTGTGGTTGGAATGGAGGTGAGTAAATTGAATCTAATTTAAACTTACAAAACTTTTTTTATTACACATCATGTACGGTAAGTACATCTTTAAAGGCCTGAATGGTTCACTGTGCTTTAATTTTACAACATTATTTCTTGTGACTTTACATTTTGATAAAATGTTGATACAAAATGAAAGCATTAATTTATCTACAACCTAAAACAATGTGGATGCTGTCACTTAATGATCTTCAGTCATTGTTCATTGCTGTGCTGTAATTTTAGTTACTTGTTACATACTTGTGGATCACAAATTGTTATGATTAGGATGGTGGTTTGAGTGTATTTTAATACAAGAATTTTAGGTACCATATTAGATAGTGTAAAATAACGGAAATCAGTGTAAATTTAGTTTGCCTAAAATCAGTGTAAGCTTGGTTTGCCTAAAATCAGTGTATTTGTATTTGAGATGCACAGAGTCAGTACAGTACAGTTGTTTATTGTTTGTTTGTTTGCAGCATCTGATACTTTCCATGAAGTTTGCAGTTGCCTACGCCATTCCTGACATACCTCACTGGGTCTCAGTTGAAATGGCTAAACTAGAATTTAACAGAAGAGCAGCACTCAAGGTACAGTTTTACCACAAAGTGTCAGTTCAAAGACAAAATGTTACACCATATATTCACTCACTGAAAGTTGCTGCATATTTGTTGGCCACGGTGTACGTATTTCAGTGCTTTTTTTTATAACTGTTTATAATCACTAATCATCAACTGTGTATTTGGGGTACTTTGCATTATCTAAATGGCCTTCCATATAGTCAAGCATTAATTCCAGCAGTTTTCAGAAGTTGAAAATTAAACAGCACAAACTACTACATCACTTTTGGAATGTTATAACTTTGTATTCACTTTCACCCAGACATTCCATTAATCGCACAGGTACATGTATGTGCAAACTGCTTATCAATGTGCAGACAGGAGGTATTACTCTGAAAAACCAGTTTAATTAATTCTAAAATCAAAATTGCATTGACTAATTTTCAATAAGTGTATATTATATCATGGTTGCCATGACAATTATGAAGTATTCCACAAACTTTGACTAAGAGTGCACATGTTTATGTGTACATGTTCAGTGCATGCTTCTAGCCAGACACCAAGTTCTAAGAGTGCACATGTTTATGTGTACATGTTCAGTGCATGCTTCTAGCCAGACACTAAGTTCTAAGAGTGCACATGTTTATGTGTACATGTTCAGTGCATGCTTCTAGCCACACACAAAGTTCTAAGAGTGCACATGTTTATGTGTACATGTTCAGTGCATGCTTCTAGCCAGACACCAAGTTCTAAGAGTGCACATGTTTATGTGTACATGTTCAGTGCATGCTTCTAGCCACACACCAAGTTCTAAGAGTGCACATGTTTATGTGTACATGTTCAGTGCATGCTTCTAGCCAGACACCAAGTTCTAAGAGTGCACATGTTTATGTGTACATGTTCAGTGCATGCTTCTAGCCACACACCAAGTTCTAAGAGTGCACATGTTTATGTGTACATGTTCAGTGCATGCTTCTAGCCACACACCAAGTTCTAAGAGGAATTTATAACAAAATCTGCTGAGATATCATCATATTTGTCCCAAAGCACATACACATCATGACACAATGGCATGATATCACACTGCATCAAAACCATGTAACCATGGCAATATTGTTGTCAAGGAGAACTTACTCATTGGTTTCTACTCTCCATGATCACAGAAAATGGAACAAGCCATGGCATCACAGAGTGTAAAAGACACTACAAAAGATACCGCCAAAAATGGCAGTAAAGAGAAGAAAGAACCATCCCCGATAACGAAAACATGGCCGACAAGTAGGTTTGAAGAACCAGAAAAATCTCCAAAGGCAAAGAAAACGGAGTAAACAAAGCACTGATGTTATTCAAAATGGTTTATTTCAAATGTTTTGAAATGTGTTTTATGGTGCCAAATTTACAATCTGGTTGCATGACTGGTGCTATAATTGAGTGAATCAGGGGTACATAATATAGGGTTTGCACCATACCCTAACCATGTGGGTTAAATACTAGTAGCTGGATCTCATACAATCAAATACTAAATAGAAAATTACATTCTTCTAAGAATATTTATAATAAATATTTATTGTTTCATTTGCTGACAGTGAATATCATTCAAGAAATGTTTGCTAGGTTTGATTTTATGTCACATGTAATTCCTTTATTATCTACTGATGAGTTATACAATAGTTTTGTACATACATACTGCCATGAATATTGGAGATATTAGCAATAAAGGCCTTCTGTCATGAAAAATATCTTTCTCAGAACACAATCCAGAGTGTCGAGTGAAAAAATAATTTACATCTGTTGGTTTGGGTTTTTTTGCAATTTTTTTATCCTGATATACTATGTGTAATTTGTTCTATGTGAGTAATATTAATATTTAATGTAATCATGTTTCTTGATTTTGAATTTTCTCTAAATATTTACTCTTAACTGTATGTCAAGGGCATCTTGGATAGCTTAGATGTATACTACATTCAATTAGTTCATTTAAGGACAAATTTAAATTAATAAACAAATTTTAATATGTATTTATATTTATTAATATCAGTTTTTCCCTGGAAAAGTTATTATTTATTTGTTTCTTTTCCATGTGAACATAGTGTGTAAAGTACATTTACACATCCAACCTATGTTAAGTGAGTCCCATGTGAACATAGTGTGTGAAATACATTTACACATCCAACCTATGTCATGTTAGTTCCATGTGAACATAGTGTGTAAAGTACATTTACACATCTAACCTATGTCATGTTAGTTCCATGTGAACATAGTGTGTAAAATACATTTACACATCCAACCTATGTTAAGTGGGTCCCATGTGAACATAGTGTGTGAAATACATTTACACATCCAACCTATGTCATGTTAGTTCCATGTGAACATAGTGTGTAAAATACATTTACACATCTAACCTATGTTAAGTGGGTCCCATGTGAACATAGTGTGTGAAATACATTTACACATCCAACCTATGTCATGTTAGTTCCATGTGAACATAGTGTGTAAAGTACATTTACACATCTAACCTATGTCATGTTAGTTCCATGTGAACATAGTGTGTAAAATACATTTACACATCCAACCTATGTTAAGTGGGTCCCATGTGAACATAGTGTGTGAAATACATTTACACATCCAACCTATGTTAAGTGGGTCCCATGTGAACATAGTGTGTGAAATACATTTACACATCCAACCTATGTCATGTTAGTTCCATGTGAACATAGTGTGTAAAGTACATTTACACATCCAACCTATGTCATGTTAGTTCCATGTGAACATAGTGTGTAAAGTACATTTACACATCTAACCTATGTCATGTTAGTTCCATGTGAACATAGTGTGTAAAATACATTTACACATCCAACCTATGTTAAGTGG